ATCGAGCAAGCACGCGCTTCTCGCGATGAACAGATGCCACCTTAAAATTTGCCAGAATTACACCTAGCACGGATTACATGAACATCTTGCATTTATCAATATACTCAAGCAGGAGGAATATTTAAACACTTGGTACTTGAACTGCTTACAAATCTATAGTATTTCAAATAACACACCCTTTTCTCCTTCAAAATTTGTTTTTTGAAGCACATTTTGATCGCAACATCTCGATGCGCGTCGGCTTTCTCAGTCGCTGAATACACAACACTGAAGGATCCTTCGCCAATCTCACGTTTGACCTGAAATAAATGATTGGACTCGAAGGAGGAAGAATAACCTCCGCTCAACAACCTAACTTCAAACATGCCTCTAGGAAAATTACTCGGTGAAAATCGCAGCCAACAACACAAACAGAATCGGTGGTGGCAAAATGTTTTGACGCTGTTAGTAAAGAGGACGTGAATTCCACCGCGGCCGTTTTTCCCCTTGCCTTTTTTCACGAATCTGGTAAAAAGAATTCCAGAAAAAATGAGCCTAGGGAGCGTTTAGTTTTCCCTCCCATAGGTGATTACTGACTCTTAGATAAACGCAAACCACTACAGACATACCATCGGCACTCATCTTGTATATAATGGAAAAATTAGTGAGTTACCGAATTTGTGAGTTGTCTAAATCATAAACTTTGAAATTGATTCACGGCCTAGACTACACCAAGGGCATTGAACAACAAAATCCGTCAGGCTTCGAAAAATTTCCTATTTCCCTTCGCATTCCGCTCCCTTGGCGTATTTCCGTTACCTGCTGTGATCAGCATCAGAGTTCGAAGTTTCTGAACTGATTGGGTCTGCTTTTATCTCCTCGGCGACGAAGAAATTGTGCTAATGCTTCTTGAAGGCAAGAAGGACCTGCGCGAGTAAGAAGCAAAGTTCCGCAAATGCTTTTAATCCCAACTTCGTGGCATAACAATTGATGGGCACACATGGTTAAATTCGCAGTGCTAACCTAGTTGGAGGGAAGGGAGGAATCACGCGGTGGCGCGGCGCTCCATTCACCTGTATCTTCACTTCAAACGTTCGCGAAGAAGGAATCGTTGAGCTACAGTTGGTAGAAGTGTACTGTGACAATTCGATGACGCTCCTTGGTTTGCCTGTTCCTTTGCCTTGGGCGCGTTACAAATAAATAAAGAAAGGAGTAAGGCTCAGTCATACGGACCGCTATGTGGTATCATAGTCCGCGATCCCTCGCGCGATTCGCGCGGATCACATTACAGATCGTGGACTGACACCAATCTACTATTTCGCCGCACCGAGGCAGTCTCAAAATATGTTGCACAGCAGACTAAGCATTGGTCGATGTCAGAGTTTGCGAATCCAGCGATTCGCTAGCGAATGGCTGGATTCACAGCCTGACATCGGCCTTTAGGATGAAGACGAACAGAGCGCTCCCCGTGGTCCATCCCCCCCCCCCCTGAATAAGTTAGCACCAAATTCGCCCGCCTTTTAAGCCGCGTCCATACTTTGCACGATACCACGATCACATAATCGCGAGAACACTCAACATGCGTGAGAAGTTGAAATGTTCCGTGAGAAGACGGAATGACGAGTTCCACTTCGTTTAAGCGGGGCGGCGAATGCCTCTCCCCCCCCCCCCCCCCCCCCCGAAGCACATTGCCGCTATATTCTCACAAAAAAATCGCAAATTGCCCAAAACGTGACTGCGGATTAGCAGAAATTGGTTTGAATTTAGATTGATTTATTTTGTGGAAGATCACACCCGCATCTGTGGTATTCGAAAGTAATTAGTAAAGCATACAACAGAAACGGTATCACGGGAACTGAAAAAATTAGAATGAACCTATGGAACTTATTTCCAGAAGTACCTTTGTGAACTACATTCGGAATATATGCTGCGCTGTGATCGGAACCTCGAAAAAAAAAAAAATGGCTTTAGAAAAACAAACAGACCTCATAGTCAGCCATACATCTCATCCGTGTATTGCCTGCTTCACCATGAGGTGCAGACAGTTCCTTTGGAATCAAATCCAACTCCATACACACTGAAGCGAGAAGGCATAAAGCCTACACTCGAAATATGCGCAGCCGTCGAGTATCGAATTAGCGTATTGCATGCACCGTAACCGCACACAAAGCACAATACAGTAATCGTGACAGTAGAAGAAATGGAAAAGAATCTGTCGAAAACGCTTGAGTTAGGCGGACTTCTTCACTTTTGTGTTGTTTAGCAATGCAGAACTAGTTCCGGAGGGAGCAGAGATAGGCGAGGAGTTATTACAGGTGAGACGGAGCGCAGGAACACACTTATCTAAACGGGTTACAAGGCTTCTGTCAACCAAAGGGTGAGAGCGTAGCTGGAAAAGCACACACTTTGTGTCTTATTGGGACTAAGCCTTTTGAAGAAGATAAAGAAAGAGGAGATGCTGTGATAGTGTGCACTTGTGAGAGCTCCCAGACATCACTACAAAACGCTGAACCGCAAAGGCTCACGGTTGACAGACGTATTGATTACGGGGGCTTAGCCCCACTTGAATAACTATGGAGGTGCCGTAGATTCACCATTGCAGAGCCTGCGCCTATTTCACATTCGAAACCGCCACGGTCATAAGACCCTAGGCGCTAAGGACTGGTCAAATCCCAACCAAGCTATCATGATCCTACCACCGTTCGATATCTCACCTGTCTCGCAGTGGTGGCTTGCTTGCCTCTCTACTCGGACTGCGTGTGCTTACCCTCACGCACTCATTGACTCGTGATTTCTTGCGGTATGCCTCTACAGTCAATTATAGGTTTTACGGCGGCTTGATCAAAAAGCGGGCACGTTGTGGGTTGGGCGGGGCTCGCGCTTCGGTGGCATTGCGGCCAAAATCAACTCTCTCTCTCACTCGCTCTCTCTCGCTTCTCATTCTGAATGATGACTACTCCGAAGCAATTGTGAGAATAAGGGACAACCACTATGGGCCGATGTCAGACTCTGCGATTGGAGCGATCGGTCAAATGTCAATCGCGCGACCATCGCGCGACGATCGCGCGATTGACATGACCCATCATGACCAATCGCTCCAATCGCGCGATGGGCGCGATCACTCCCGTTGTGGCAGGGGCGCCCCCCCCATCGATCGTTGAACTGCCGAAGGCTGGCGCTTATTCCACACGGGAGTTGATCGCGCCATCGCGAGCAATGGATGCGTGGTCATGATGCGGAAGTAATGTGAATCGCTCCATCGCAGGAGTCCTGACAGTCGGCAATTGGAGCGCGGGTTTAGGACCGTTATCCCAATCTCTTGAACGATATGGGAACGATTCGGGCGTTTGAGGTTGCTAGTTGGAGGATTTAAAGGTATGTCTTCAAACTATATCCTTGTGCGACTATATGACGTCCTTAGTGAACAAATAGGACACTTGGCTTTGCGTAAAACGAAGAAATATATATTTTTGGGGCAGCAGACAGCAGTCAGCTACAGTGCGCGCTTGTTAAGGTGAAACGAAAGTCTTGAAATAAATAATTGTGCTGCTGCTGATGCGACATTTTTTTGATGAAGTTCAATGTCTCCGGCAGAGTTTCATGACTTTTTGCCCAGCGTTACTGCTCACAGCCGCATACTTTGCGAAGTAACGGAGAATTCAGAATGTGAACTCGACCAAGTATCAGAAACAGTCTCAGAAAAGTGACAAGACAAGACAGAAGAATCCCGGTACGTTTGGCACTAATGGACCCTTCTCCTGTATACTTTTCACCGTATCAGGTGAATGTTTTCAGAATCATTTGCGAGTCATGGAGCAGACTTCTCGCATCCTTGGGAAGCGAACCCTGTAACCGCCTGCTAATTCTAATTGATCCCAGCCGTCGAGTAGAACATTGCTAAGCCCACAGAGGGTTCTTGAAAGTCCTTCATATTCTCCTTTCAACTGTGTTATTCCTTGCCTGAAGAGGCATGGTTGTTTCAACTCTAATTTTCTTTATAAAATAAAACGTATGGTTGGTATCCAGTGCCAGCAGGATGATGGACGTTTTGTCGGACATTGAGGAAAAAGGAGTTTTCTGTCCCCTTTACTAATTAAGAATTTTAGCCGGCGATGTGTGAGAACTGTGACGAGTCCGCGTTCATACGCAACCTGACGTGCATGATGTCCAGTCCTTTGAAAATTGGAGGCAATCCCTGGAAAAAAGAACGCATCGGTCGTGACCATGACCAGCGCCAAGTCTGATGTGCGAAAGCTAACGTATAGCATTTTTGACCGGGTAAGGTCTACTGCTTTTCTCGACGGTGTTTCTTGCAATTTATTCCCAACTCAACAGGGTAGCTGATAAAGACATCGACCCCATCAAATGAGGTACTTTCGTGGCAGTGAACCTGAGCCAAGCGGCGAGGAGCTGCTAGAACAGTGGAGCCTTCCGAAGCAGATTGGATCGTCTTCGAAAGCGTGCTTGATCCTGCACCTGAGGCGGACGATGTGCCTAATGAGCAGGAGATGTGGGAACCATGTTGTTCTCTCACTCCATGAGAAGCTGCTCTGGAGTTAAATTGACGACTCCCGTTGCTGCACAGAATCTGTTTGCTTTTACGAAGTTGCTTGATCCCGCTGAAACATCGGCCGTCAATAAACCAACTTCGGGTATCGTTTAAGCAAAACAACTCAAGAACTGCATCATTGCCGAGATTTATGAAAAGCTACGCGTACATGGCGATTGACCTGCCACAACTTCTGCCAACTTAATATCATACGAATTCGTAGAGAAGTTCTATCTCTGGCTTGAAGCAGAAATTATCTCAGCACGACGAAGGTAATCCACTTCCTCGCGTCGCTGCGTTTGATCACTGTTTTGATTGTAACCTTTCGGCAGCTCTTAGGGGGACCGCAAAGTATTTTACATTGAAATGCAATTGCTTTGCTTAGCACTACGTTCCAGGCGTGATCACATGTATGTTCTCGATGTTGAAGAAATGTGTATCAAACAACGTGCTGTGCTCAATACCTGGAGGATCGCCTTTGGAAGAGGATTGTGGGTGGGTCAAAGTCGATTTGTGATTCTCTATTTGATTCTGAACGTTAAGATCCTTACAAAAGAATTGTTGATGGACCTTTCACAGTTCATCCACGTTGAGTTCAAGGAAGGGTTACTCACTACTGTGGTCAATTCGTATCTGGGGATCTCGGGTCGGTCGTTTATGTTGCTGCTTGTTCTTGTTGTATTCGCGCGACCACGCAACGAATACTGACACGTGACAATCGGGTTTGTCGGTGAACTCCCAAGTGCAGTGCTTGGGTTACTCCCCATGTCAGGCTTGCGCACGTTTCTTATTGGATGTGAGACCTTGTTTCTCATCATCTCAGCTATTTCCGCATTTGTTATGCGCAAAGTTATGCTGCTTACACGAGCTCCAAGACCGGCTCTGTTACAAGGCTGAGGTTGATAGCGATTCTCTCGTACCTGGCAAAACAATTCACATGCCGTTTCTTCACACGCACATCTATGAAAAAGCTGGCTAGCCTTACTTTCGTTGTAAGCTCAGGAAAATTTACCGATGAAGTATCCAAGGTGTTTGGCAGGTTCCAAAAAGAAGGAATGCCATCCAATGTCACCCGAGAGCAAACACATGGTATGAAACAGCTCCACGGTTCAATCAGGTCTTGCACCATGAAACTGTCCGCCAGTGACAAAGGAGGGAAATTTGTGGTGATCCTCTGTCAACTTGACCATATCATAACAAGACACCACCTTAGAGATACCTCTCTTTACCTACCATCTTCCATCAGGGACTTTCATACGCAGTCTTGCAGGCTCGACCAATGTGAATGACAATAGCCAAATCAGGGTGACTGGATCCTTGCCTAGTAACGCGGCTCAAAATTGAGTCACCGTGTTGCCCTGTCCTATATCTGCTGATAAAAACACGTAAGTTTTCAACACTGGATGACATTAATTGCTCCCGCGTTAAGGTTCGACGTATCATCAGCTGCGTGGATGGTCCGCTGATCAGATAGCATGGTTTCTCAATACCATCTTGGTGCCACTCACACACACACATACTATCCCATTTCACTAATATCCAAATGTTCCTAAACCATCTTCCAGGCTCTCCAACTCAGCAGTGCCTGTATGGAATCATTTGACCTGGAGAGTTTCTGCACTAACATAAGTAATGGTTCCGCTATGGAAGCAGTACTGGAACTCCCAAGTCAGTGTCAAAGCATGATCAACAGCATCGGCTCTCTACAACTCATTTATGTCACTGGTTAATGAGTGCATCAGTTACAATATTTCCACATGATCGTGAGAGTGCTTCGAGCAGAGGCTTAGCTAGGAGGCAACAACCGGCGCCTCCCTCAGTAATTACCTTCATGTCTAAAACTGAAGCGTCTCGTGTCTTCGCCCTTATGGAGAGGACTGTCAATCACATGCGTCTGTCATCCTGCATTCGCAACCACGCCGGAGACTACTTGAGCTGTTTCCGTTTGCGACCTGGAGGCGGCCCAGCGTCGTTATGAGCAAGCGACCGCGGTTAGGAAAAAATAAACAGGAAAAGTCTACGTCACTCGCAGCAGTGTGAGGCGGCAAAGCGCTTCATCAGCGTTAGTCTCGCCCTGCGTCGGGGCGGTAACCCGTGGACGGGCTTCCACAATCGCAACCGACGAACCCATGGTTGCCTTCCCCATTTTCATTAGTTATTGACTTGGAGTGAAGTTTAAAAAAACTGCCTCTATTTGTTTCTATTGGTTGTTGTAGATACAATTATTTGTGTCATAAGCTTTTTTTAGTGAGACTTCTTCATTTATGGAAGGAACTATCATCTTTTATTGATTGATTCAGGAATTGAAGTTTACAATGGAAGGTGCCAGTTTCAGAAAGGAATTTTTGCAGAGATTGAGGACGAGTAGCGAACAAGAAGAACCAATTTTGTTTTTGACTTTTCCTGTCGAATTTCAGCTTTTTTATTTTCAGGCTTCAGAGTGCGATTACTGCGCGGAGACCTCCTACCGAATGAACCACTTCTTTGC